AAAAACATTATACCCTGATTTCCCATTTTCAATGGGTTCAGGGTATAAAAAATGAATGAAAAATTGAGAAAAAAAAAATCATAAACATAAAATATGAAGAAAATATATATAAAATATAAAAAAAAATAAAATAATAAGATCGAATCAAATATGTCCATTTTATATTTAAAAAAATAATAGTTCTGATGGAATTGTCCAATTATAAATTCCCAGAAATTTAGTTTATAAAACGTAAGCTGCCAAGAGTATATAAATATAATTCCTATACATACATAAATATAAAATTTTCTGGAAAATTGATTTGTCAAGCGTTGACAAGCTCATCAAAATACCCCACCAAAGGGTATAGAGAATGAAGCAAAGAAATCGTTTATAAACAAGAACAACAAGAAAAATGCGATTAAAATGACAAGTGAAAGCAATTTTCGTGCAGCTGCTGTGGATAATGGGACAGAGGCAGAGAGAGAGGGAGAGGGAGACGAAATCGAGCGGACTATATAGGGGAATTGAGGGATAGGGTTGGGCTGTTGAGTGAGTGCTATTTGGCATGGAATGGAATGGCATTACACAGACATACACCTCTACATACATATATGAGAAGGCGCAAAAATATGACTACGTTTAGGCAACTGAATGGGGAATATTACATTTACTGGCACGCCCCCTTTCCAGGCGGTACTCACATTCTTGCTGCATTCACATTTTAGTATCCATTCGACGGCAACGAATTTATTCTCAATTTGTATTTGATGCGATTGCAGAAATTCCTGATCGATGGGCTCCAAGCCAATGGTGTTCCATAGCTGTCCTTCCGGCTGCCAACTGTCGACTGCCTCGACTGCCTCGGCTGCCTCGTCCTGTTGCATGCGCTTTTGTACGTAGTTAATTGGATCAACGGCATTTAAAGGGCACAGCAGCTCCACCTGCAGACGGGAAAGAGGAGAGAAGAGAGGAGAGAAGAGAAAGAGTGTAAACTTGTAAATGTAACGAGTGGAAATCACGGCAAGAGTTACGCTGCTGTCTAAAGGCTACAGTTTAATAAATCGGAAATTGCACTCGACTCTGAGGTACTAAATCGATTTTGACAGTCAGCTTCAGCTTCAGCTGCCAATTGCAATTGCAGATTGACGTTTTAATCCGATTCGTTTTTAATTAATACTCAAAGAACGGCCCAAAAGGTAAGTCCAATCAAATAAACAACAAACAGAAAAACATTTCAATTGGCTTGGCATCAAGTTTCAGTTGAGATGAGATTAAAGAATATTTGAGTTTAAGCTTGAAAAATATATGATTTATTTTGTTATTTTCAAAATTATTATTTTAATATTTAATGATCACTCCATGACTTATTGAATTGTGAAATTCGCAAATTGAACTGAGATCGTTACAATTGAAGGCGAAACCGCAACTTACTTGAATTGTGGTCGAAACAGCTGGAATGCAACACTTGGTGCCCCGATGGCAGCTGCCGCAGAGCTTGGGGCGATAGAGCTTGCGGGAGACGCACTCGCCCAGCCGGATCCGGGCAGTGCCCAGGCGCTGCAGGCTGCGGCACTCGTGGCCCTTCTGCGGAGTTGATGATGCAAGGTAAAGAAACAGAAGCCGAAGTCGCAGCAGAAACAACAAAAACTCACTCTTATTCTGTGCGCGGGCTCCTGTTGCATATCGAGTGCCTTGGCATGGCCATTCCTCCTATGATGATGATGCTGCTGCTGCTGCTGTTGCTGCTGCTGCTGCTGAAGCTGGCTCCTGGCCAAGTTGTTAAATAGTCTATTGTGGCTATTGCCATAGCTCTTGCTGTGGCTCTGGCTGCTGCTCTGGCTGTTGCTCTGGCTGTTGCTCCTCTTATTGTCCCGGGCACATCTGCGATTCTCGCAAAGCCGTAAATTGCTCAATTGATGGCAGCCGGCATGGGTGCTCGTCTGCCTTGTGGCCATGCCCAGGCCACACGGCCGACTGCAGGCGCTCCAATTGCCGCTGATGCTGCTGTTGTGGCAGGTGGCATAGACTGCAATAATGAGTGCCAAGCACAACAAAAACAACAACAGAAACGTTAAGGAATATACGTATTGCTAATGCTTATGATTGGCCGCCTAATGGCCCGAGTGCTTAGTGGGGCCTAAGTAACTAAATGGACGAACTGCTCAGCAAACCTCTTTGAAGTTAACCAAGTCGCAGCAACTACGCCCAACTAGCACTAAGTACCTGCAATGGACGCTGAGAAGCTAAATCATTATTTATTTAACCCAAGCACTCGGTGAGCAAGCAGATATATCTTATACAAATGTCTCTATGCTAATGTTTGCTTAGGTTTATGGGTCTCTCTCTTCTCTCTCTCTCTCTCTCTCTCTCTCTCTCTCTCTCCATTTCCACTTGGCCAACATGGAATTCATTTACCCCATCAGCGTGGACTTGTTGACATTTAATGACATATATTACTTTTCCACTTAACCTTTATTTGATCGTCTGCCTTCCTTTGAAGGATCTGCAGATCACGTAATCATCATATGAGGTGGAGTTCTAGAATGATGGTTGACTAGAGTATATTGCCACGGCTCACAAATAACTTCCAGTCTTCCTATTCTTTACGCTCTGTTCGTTAAATCAGCCGAAATAATCATATACTCTCGCTCTGAACTAGAGCGATTCTTTTCATTTTCAGGAGTGGGTTGAGCTATTCAATCGCTTTTTACGAACATCGTTTAGGGAGAGATACGATTGACGTTCGTCAAAGATAAGAGCTCCCTAGAGTGCTTAGCAATTAATGTTAAATTCACTATAATATTCTTAAGTAAGAGAAGCTAAATCTCCATCTATATGGGCCTTTACGGCCTGCAATCTGTTGAATCTATAAAGATAAGAGAGATGAAAGAGCTTTGACTCTGCAATCTAATTATGGAATACTTCATAGTACTCCATTGTATATCAAATAAAGGTTCTTCATCTTAACCTTCTGAATGTTGCAAAGCAATTAGTGAGCTCAACTGTTGTCTATACACACATATGTACATATACATATATACATGTATCATAAACATGTGTAGCTATACACATATACATACACGTTCGCACACACAATTGATGAAGGCGTTAAGCCCATTTGAAGTGAGGGCATCTTGAGAGCGCTTAATAATCTTGTTTATTTATTGCATTTTTGCGCGTTTAATTAACACTTAATCCTTGTGTAAGTAATTATGCT